AGGAATAGTGTCCCATCATTGGTATCAGTGGGAGGCATAGTACCCCATAATTGGTATCAATGGGAGGCATAGTACCCCATCATTGGTATCAGTGGGAGGCATAGTGCCCCATCATTGATATCAGTGAGAGGCATAGTGCCCTATCATTGGTATCAGTGGGAGGCATAGTGCCCCATCATTGGTATCAGTGGGACAAATGTTGCCTTATCCTTGGTGTCAGTGGGAGGAATGGTGTCTAATTGTTGGTGTCACTGGAAGGAATAGGCCAGGTTTTATGCTGCAGTTTGGAGATCACTAAGATATTAGGATTTATCATCACATTGGGAGAAATCTATCAAAACTGGTGCAGACAGAATCTGGAGCAGTCGCCCATGGCAAACAATCAGCTTCTCTCTTCAGTTTGCTCGGGTAAGATTTGCTCACACAGGGCTTGGCGAACAAATTGCCTGGGAGCTAAGTGGCGTAAAAAATTGGGATTTGAACTGTTTGGGATATATTGAGTGCTTGATGGTCCCAGCCTCCCCCCCCAATTCTATGCCTTGTGCTCATCTGGGTCCCATTGTACTGTAGCCCCCTCCTCTCCGTACAAGTCCCCCGCCCTTCCCTCTTTCTCTGGCCATCCATTCGTTTTTTCCCCCAGATTTGAGGTATCCGCCTCTTAATGTGAGGTAATCAAAGGCTTTAAATGCGGCTGAGAAGCTGAGCACGCCAATCACACGGCTGTCCCAGCATTGCTCTATAACGGTCTATACACCCGGCATCATCATGAGCGGCTCCGGACCTCTGCACATCGGCCTCATCAATTGTAACAATAAATATCTGACCGCCGAGTCATTCGGCTTCAAGATCAACGCGTCCGCCTCCAGCCTGAAGAAGAAGCAAGTGTGGACCCTGGAGCCGGTGGGGGAAGAAGCCGTGCTGCTGCGGAGCCATTTAGGCCGTTATCTGTCCGCGGATAAGGATGGCCGGGTGTTCGGGGAGGCGGAGAGCCCGGACTCGGAGTGCCGCTTTTTAGTCAGCGCTCAGGGGGACGGCCGCTGGGTGCTGCAGTCTGAGGCGTACAGCCGATACCTGGGGGGTTCGGAGGACCGGATCAGCTGCTTCTCCCCCTCCGTGTCCCCCGCGGAGAAGTGGGGTGTCCATTTACACATGCACCCCCAGGTCACCATCTACAGTGTGACTCGGAAGAGGTACGCCCGCCTGGGCTCCAATGGCGATGAGCTGTCCGTGGAGCGGGACGTGCCCTGGGGTCTGGACTCCCTCATCACCCTTCTCTTCCAAGAAAACCGATACAGCATCCAGACCCCGGACCACCGGCTTCTGGCCATGGACGGCACCCTGCGGACCGAGCCGGGCCCCGACACTCGCTTCACGCTGGACATCTCGGCCGGCAAGGTGGCATTCCGGGCGAGTGATGGCCGCTACCTAACCCCTTCTGGGCCCAGCGGCACCCTAAAAGCCGGCAAGAACAGCAAGGTGGGCAGAGACGAGCTCTTCGTGCTGGAGAGAAGTTGTCCACAGGTTGTGTTGACAGCTGGAAATGGCCGCAATGTGTCTACGAGGCAAGGTGAGTTACCATCGAATTGTGTGTGTGGCAAGCAACGCCCTCAATATCGTGTGTTCACATTAGATCTGGGAGCATTGCATGGAAAGCTGCATCCCAAAAGTTATACGGCACCAGAAGCCATGGGTGGTAGACTTGTCAGGAGATGTCTTCCTTTCCAAATTCACTTCATGGAAGACTTTAGCCAAAAATCAATGGGCAGATTTTGGCTAAAGGTTCATGTAAGCTCCCCAAATTTTGCTTAAGGGTTCAAGTGAACTGCGCAGCGTTTGGCGCTAGGGCCGTGTCAACTGCGCAGCGTTTGGCGCTAGGGCCGTGTCAACTGCGCAGCGTTTGGCGCTAGGGCCGTGTCAACTGCGCAGCGTTTGGCGCTAGGGCCGTGTCAACTGCGCAGCGTTTGGCGCTAGGGCCGTGTCAACTGCGCAGCGTTTGGCGCTAGGGCCGTGTCAACTGCGCAGCGTTTGGCGCTATCACTATGTAAAATATTCTGATTTCGTTAGGTTCATGTGCGCTTCCTTGGTTTTGGTGAGACTTACCTGAGCTGCTCAGATTTTGATAAGAATGGCAACTGATCTGATTTTGGGGTAGGTTTGACGTGAGCTGCTCTGATTTTGGGGTAGGGTTGACGTGAACTGCTAAGTAGAAGCCGTTGTGACTGTTCGTCTGCAGTATTTCATTGTATCTGATTGCAGTATTTCTTTATAATCATGGGATTGTCATTGCACGCGGATCACATTGTTCATCATGTGTCGTGAATTAGCTGTGACAACGTCGGTGGCATGCTCTACTTGTCTTCGGTATACAAGTTGCTAGTATGCTCTACGCGGAGAATGGAGCCTTTGTCTGATGTTCCACATAGTTGCTCCCCACCCACAGCCTATGAAAAAGGGCTGGTCAAAAGAAGAGGTACCCAGCCTCCTAGCCAATGTGAACATTTTTGTGGCTTCTGTCTCTTAGCAAGAATAGCCAAAGAAGCCTGCATGGTAAATCCCTCAGACCGTTACTGTGGAACAGATGTTACACTCCGATTTCATTTACTGTGCTTGGGTTAAGTAGAAACCCGAAGAGAACTCATCTGCAGTCAAATGCAGACGTGTCAGTATTTAGTCTCAACTGTCCAGGGTTACTAATACAAGTTTTGTTTAGAATCCCTTTATTTTTAACCTGATTGTCATCCTGCATCAGAGGTGGAAGAGGACATTGGGTCTGATCATTGCTGGCTGTCAGCTTTCTCAGCTTATGTGACTAATGCATGCTGTGTAATGACTTCAGACTGCAGAACTGAATCGCCATAGTTTGGAGCTAAAGCCTTCAAAAACATTTAATAATTTGGTAAATGGATCTTGTGTGTTGAGCAGACTTTCTTCCCACTGCAGCTTGTGAGCCTGGGCTTTTCATATGAAGTGCACATGTGTAGCTCCTGCCATAGAGATGTTATGACCACCATAAGTAAAGAAAGTAAATGTGACTTAGATGTGCTGGGTGTATAGCCATATGTCTCATAGTGATGGTTGATGGAAATAGAATATGAGCAGTAATGGGGGGACGGGGGCTATATTGTATACCACTTCTGGCTAAAGAGTTGAAATGTTCCAGACTGGTGTTTCCCAACACTTTTGTAGCCAAATTATGCATTCTGGGATTGCATTTAGTGCACATTTGCGCGTATATGCGTATACATACGCTTATTAGAGCTGCAGCTAACTATTATTTTCAAAATCGATTAGTTAGCCGATTATTAAGTTCGATTAATCGGTTAATCGGATAAACAATAAAATACATTTTAAAAAATGGCTCCAGTGAAGGTACTACTAGTTTGTATTGAGATTGTAGTCCATCACAGGAGCAAGCTTGGAGCGGTGGAAGTAAAAAAGAAAAGTGTGGTGTGCAATATAGTGAAATGAAAAGTGTAAAATTATACAGCAATGAATGCAGAATGGCACCGGCTATAGAGGACTACAAAACCCAGCAATACATTATACAGCGCAATGCAGAATACCACCAGCTATAGAGGAGCACAACAAATCCTTATAGCTGGTGGTATTCTGCATTGTACTGTTGCTGGGTTTTGTAGTCCTCTATAGCCAGTGGTATTCGGCAGTGCACCACTGTATAATGTATTATTGCTGGGATTTGTAGTGCTCCTCTATAGCTGGTGGAATTCCGAATTGCGCTGTATAATGTATTGCTGGGATTTGTAGTCCTCTATACAGCGCAGAATACCACCAGCCATAGAGTACAACAAATCCCAGCAATAGTACATTATACATACAGCGTACAATGTATTGCTGGGATTTGTATTCCCATGTATAATATACAGCACAATGTACCATCAGCTATAGAGGAATACAAATCCCAGCAATACATTATAGAGCACCATTTGTGGAAAAGTGCAGGCTTACCTAAGCAGTCTTCCAGCAACTTACTTCTGAGATCGGGCCTGTCTATCAAAGCATTTAAAACCATGATAGACCCTACACACACACCACACATAAAGTTTTGATGCTGAGTTACTTTTAAAAAAAAAATGCGTTGGTCCAAACTGATGGAGTGAAATAGACAGGCAAAGTAACTGGGAGCAAGAGGTACTAGTGTGTATTAGGTGGTTGGGTTAGCACTACAGATCACATACACTATATTGCCAAAAGTATTGGGATGCCTGCCTTTACATGCACATGGACTTTAATGGCATTCTGTGAGCTTGTTGGCTCCATATATATTCAATCAAGTTAAGTGAAAAAAAAAAATGTAAATTCAAGTCCCACATTAAAAAAAAAAAGGCACCAAAAAAAAGTTAAGTCCCCTGCCCCAATGTGCTCGCACTTGAGAAATGTAAATATGCCTCGGGTGCGCCTATGTGCGAAAACCATTACGCCACACATTGCATATCGCCGAAAATGTCGGACTGCAAGCAATAATTATAGAGCCATCAATCACTGATGGCACTAAATTGATGAGCGGTAAAAGCTTTATAAGTGTCTCCTATAGACAATTTTAGGTTTTTATTTCGCGGACACACATTTTTAAAGCTTGACATGTTTGGTGTCTATTTACCCGATGTGACCCCGTATTTTATAGTTTACCAAAATATGCAGGGGCTGATAAATGTTTTAGAACAGGGAAAGCAGGGGTTTTTTTTCAACATTTTCGGTTCTTTTGTCATAGTAGAAAATAAAAACCCCAGTGGTGATTAACATGTCCACTGTGACCGATATCACCGGAGACACAATCATTGTATTGTAAGGCAAAAATAACATTCAACATTTCTTATTTGAGCTTTCTTTTGGAAAATGGTTAAAATATTGAAGAAAGCGGGTCAGCATGACCGGGAGGAAGTTGAGTCTTCTACTACTTTTAAAGCAACTGGCCACCAACTGGACAGGTAAGTATAAGGCCTCATTCACACACAACACAAGAGCAATGTATATGCGTGCAATATATGCAATCCCAGAATGCATCATTCATAATAGAGATTTTAATGAACTGTACGTGCGTATATGCGCGTAAAATACGCAGAAATACGCTGCCCGGGCACATCTCGGTTCCATTCTGTCTTTGCACATTTTTACACAACGCAAATATACGGCTCCATATGCAGCTATGTGTATGGAGCCATTTATTTGCATATGCTGCATATGGTACAATACGCGTGAATGAGGCCTAAAGCTTCCCCTCTCTCATCATGCTTTTGCTTTTTCTTTAGTGGTCTTCAGTGGATGGAGTCTCTAAAGTGCAGCTGTGACTTGTTGGTTACAGATTACGTTACATTGCATCCTTGAAATTCCCAAATGCTTCATTCTTCCCTCTCCCTCCCCCCCTTCCCCAAACTCCTGATGTTCTCCATTGCTCAATTTTTTTGAAATTGGAGTATTACTTGCTTAGTCCAGAGTCCTTTAGTCCCTTGGTTCTCAACTGGTGGGTCGTGACCCAAAAGTGGGTCACGACCCCCGTGTTCAGTGGGTCGCTGCATGCCTTCCACTTTTGTAGGCGAGAGGCTCCTCTGCCTCCCTCTAGTGCAGCACTGTCAGTTCTCTTGCCAAGCAGCCACTCAAAATATGCTGCCCAGTGCAGAGTTTCAGCTTGAGGTGGGATTGGAAGGGGCTTTGGCCGTGAGGGAGTTCCATCCATATGTGCATTGCTTACAGCCCTTCACGTGTTCTATAGAGGTGTCTGGACCAGAGTGACTATTCATTTCTATGGTACCCCAAACGCATCTCCCACCCACAGTTCGTATGCCAAAACATGCAGTACCCTAATGTTGTGCATTCCATTGCAGTGCAATTTGGGTCGTGACTTAATGACCGAGGACAAATGTGGGTCCTGAGGTTACACGGGTTGATAACCACTGCTTTAGTCCACCACTGGTCCTGCATCTGATGTGATAACATGAGTGCCCATTTACCTTCCAGCACTGGAGAGAAGAGGACCTGTTGGGAAAGCCGTTGCAAGACCCTGAATTAAGGGAATGCTCATATAATCATGTCCCCTAGACAAATGAGGGGGATTTATATAAAACTGGAGCAGACAAAAGCTGAAGCAGTTGCCCAGGGCAACCAATCAGCTTCTCACTTCAGTTTGCTCAGTTAAGATTTGAAAATGAAAGAGAAGCTAATTGGTTGCTGTGCACAGCTGCTCCATATTTTGTCTGCTCCAGTTTTGATAAATTCTCCTTAATGAGCTTTAAATCCATTATTAGCCCTGCTTAACCCCTTCATGACTGAGGCCCTTTTTTCATTTTTTGCACCCATGTTATATTCCACATTTTAGGCCTGAAAATGACTTAAAACCCCCCAACATTATATATTTTCTGAATGCCAAGACCCTATAGAATAAAATGGTGGTAGTTGCAAATTTTTATGTTGCGCAATATTAGCGCAACTCCTTATTAAACCCCAACATTTAGTGAAAAAATTAATTTAATGCCCCAAAACACACAAAATACCAATTTTTTAAATGACATATAAAAGATGAGGTTACAACGAGTAAAACGATACCCAACATGC